GTGGGTTTTTTTTCCCAAAAAATAACCCACGAATTTTAGGGGGAAGATATGGAAAAGGGGGTGTGAATGTGATGTGCGCACGCTCCGTGAGCTTAGGAAAAAAAAAAATATGCGCAGAGGCCAAAAGAAAGTTGGGAAACAGCGCGCACGTTGCGTGGGTTCCGGAGGGCCCAGTACGGGGCTTGCCTTCAATAGCTCAGTACTAAGGATGTAGTAGTAAGGTTCAGTCGCAGCAAGAATGGCATCCAGCTCTATCGTTTCAGTGCACCTCAGCTCTCACTAGCAAGTGATAAGTATTTTAGGATTAAGGTTAATTTAGCGGGGTGTAACTACCTACCAGTAGAATTCAGCCTTAAAAAAATCAGAATGCTTTCAAAAGATGGTTTCAAAAGATACTGCAAATTCGGTGCCTGTCAGGAAAAACGCTCCATCAAGAATCAAAAACACCACCAAACAAACCTCGCAGTTGCATCAACGTGTGAAGTTTGTTTCTGCGAGACCCCATCCACCGATATCAAACGAGAGACAATGACGCTTCGCATCAGCATGCCGACCGTCCGCAAAGTTTTGTTTTTGCCACTGTTGTATGCGGTAGTCGCCACGCAGACTTGCATCTCCGCGGGATTCTCGCCGGCCCGGCAGCCTCCCAGCACCGAACGCCGGGGAAGGTTCGGTCGGGTGGTGCCTTTTCCGGGCCACGCCCGTGGCAGAATAAAAAGCAGGGAGCGGGGTGTCACGGCGATCCGTGGCGGGGGCCGCCGCGACCGAGACGAGGCCGAAGACGAACCACTCCTCGACTGTGGCGGGACCGTCGCGGGCCTCTTCGGAAACCTCCGCATCCCGGCGTCACTGATCGCCGGTGCCTCGCTCGGATCGGCCTTTGCCCTGCCCCTCCTGGAATCGGACGGACCCATGTTTGGGTTTGCGAAACGCATGTACTCGTTTTTGATGCTGACCGCGCTCGGGAGCATGCTCCTGGTAGTGATTCTTTCCACGATTTGCATGAACGACATTGCCATCAGCCCCCCTCGGCGTTCCAAGAGTGTCTTTGACTACATCAACGAGCATTATTCCCTGGAATGGATCACGGTCAAGTCCAACTTTTACTATGGAGCCCTGTCCTTTGTTGTAGGAGCGGCATTCCGGGCCTGGGTGTCGATCTCGTGCCCCGTGTTTGGGAGGGGCATCGTAGGCTTCCTGACGAGTATGACCCTGATTTCCGTTGCAAACCTGATCGAAAAATCGTCGTGCCAGTCCGGGGGGTGCTCGATCCAGCAGCGGTTTACCAAGCACCGGAACGAAGTAGTCGCCAAATCGAAAACGAACCCGGTGTATGGGGCAGGTGTCCTTGTATGGGCATCCTCGGCTGGATATCTGATCTTCAAGATTCCTCATATCTATCTCTACCTTTCAAAACTATAAAGTCGGGAGGTGCTATGGCGACTGACGGTCGTCGCGGAGACCCCACCGTTTGGGTTTCGTAAGGTAAGCGCCTAAAATTGCGAGTAGTGAGGAGTGGCTTTGGACTGCATTATAATTCATTTACTAGTACTTCTTTTAATTGTATGGAGCAATAGTAGTACTAGTAGTACGGCCATCCAATCAACGCGGGTTGTTGGAAAACAAGGAGAGGAATCCATCCTTGCTCTTGTGTAGTCTCCTCCTCTGAAACCAGTGGTGGGACTGCGATGATTTTGGGGCATTCTTGTTCTTCTTCTTGGCAATGAGGATTCTTGTTGTCGTCGTCGTTCTGACGATAATGAGTTCGCTAGTACTAGTACTACTAGTAGTAGTAGTTCATCGTACTACTAGTACTAGAACAATCGTGGCATACTTATTGTTGTGAGAGACACCATCAGTACAATCGGTACAACTATTTGGAAAAGACTAGTACTTGTTGTAGTAGAACTACTCTGATACTAGTATTAATAGTACATGTAGTATGCTCGAAAATGAAAGTCTGTCCCTCAACCGTGAAGGACGTATCGTATTCGGGGATGCATTAAAAAACACCAAATACGAGCCAACCTCGTCGTTGATAGGGACATACCGATACTATCATTCAATCAATGTAAACAACCATGTCCGTCGTCGGAAACAATCGTGTCGGAATTCCCATCGTCGTTCTACACGATGCGGAAGGCGCCGTGGTGGAAATCGAAACCAAGACCGGAGAGTTGATACGGGGACTTTTGTTCGAAGCCGAAGATCAGATGAATTTGTACATCAAAAATGCCATAATCCGAGATGTAAATGGCGTCAAGCGAAAAAGTCCACAGGTCTATGTACGGGGAACCGAAATCGTCTTTATTGTGCTCCCCGATATGCTGAAGCACGCACCCATGTTCAATCGGTAAGATTTTTTAAAATTATGTCTGATGGTATTGTACGCTTGCAGAGATTTTGCAAGAGACTGCTCCGAACCATTCTTTCCGTGAAAACATATGTTTTCTCGGAGGCTCCGGTGTTGTTGTTCGACCCCATTTTCGATTCCTTGTTTGCAGCTGTTTTCTTTGTTTAGATCACCGCGCTCCGTATAGCAAGGTGAGTCCTCATTTTCGTACCTAAAAATGTTTACAATCAGATTTACTCACGGAAACTGTCTTCTTCGCTGGCGCATGGATGGGTTTGATTCGATTCGCGTGTCTCCGTTTTTTGTTTCGGTTGCCGCCGGTGTTCAGAATCAAGCACTGGAGGAAACACGGGGGAGCTCCGCCCGAGGGTGTCGGCCAAGCGGTGGGCCAGGCAGCGGCGATCATTCGCAAGGCCGAGGACAGGAGGCGAGGAGGGTTCGGCGGACGCTTCGGTGGCCGCGGCGGCAGGGACGGAGGCCGCGGGGGGAGAGGAGGCTTCGGCGGACGGGGCGGCGGACGCGGAGACTTTGGAGGCCGGGGAGGCCCCCCGCAGAGATCCTTTGGGCAGCGCGGCCAATACGGGCCGCGGTGAAGAGCTAAGAGGAATCGCTATTGTTTTCGCTGGTTGGTTGGTGAGTGAATTAGTTTTAGTTAGCCGTAGAATAAGCACATGAGCAAGTCGGTTCTGTATGCCGAAGCGGTATCCTAAGTTCAATTCCCGTCGCACCAGAATCTGCATGCATCCATAAGGTTTCGTGCGTTCCGCCATATCTCTAGGAAGCAGAATACGAAGGTTCGAACGGATGGACGAGAGGATAAAAATAATAAGGTAGTGTATAGTAATCGGTAGGTAGAAGGTAGGTTAAGTTTACGCACTGTAGTGCTGTGCACGGCACCATGAGTAGTTCCCGGTGGTGAAAAATCGTCATAGTTTTCATTCGAATGTGTTTGGATCGCAAGACCGTCGACTGGAATACTCAGTAATAACAACATCGCATCTTCTTTATCCCCTCTAGCATTACGCTTCTAGCAACTTTGTGTTCACGAATGTGTACTGCAATATCCTAGAAACGCAGACAACAAAAACAATTTAATATCTCTTATCTGCAATACTGTGTCATTGTTTGGAGGTGATGACGACTGTGCATGGTTATCTTGTTTTTGTTCCTTGGCAAGATTCCCTAAACCCTCCCCTCACGATCGAAACTACGCTAGGCAAGATACGTACTACCAGTTGTTTGATTCTGAAAACTATGAAAGTCGAAATGATTTTGTGACCACTGTGTCCCAATCGCCGTTGGCATTCCGTTGTCGCTTGCCGATTCCGAGCCGGAATCTTGCCCTTTCGATCTCTCTCGTCAGGTGTCCGCCTTGAACCGCAGGAGCTCCACCTCGAGCGTGTTCAGATCGACCAGGACGGCCTCCCCCGTTTCGCTAAACTTGGGGACGCAGACCAGCCGCGTCGTGGCTTCGCCGCCGCCGTCCTCGTCGTGTTTCATCAGCTTGGTGGCAAAGCCCTCCTCGCAGTTCCCGCAAAAGTAGAGGCTCGGGGTCTTGGACTTTCGGCCCATGGCCATCGGATCCCCCGAGGGGACCATCCCGATGGCCGCGCTGCTCGGAGCCGAGGGACAGACGTGCCCCCACCGGAGGGTCCGCTCGAGCGCCTCCAGCTCGGTAAGGGGCTCCGGTCCCCGGGCCGGCTCTGCCTCTGGCGGGTCAACGGTTCCGTTTCCGCCACCGGTGTTCCCGACCGGTGGCGAGAGGACGTGCTTCTGCAGGTCCCGGACGTTCAGGCCGTCGGTCCCCAGCACGAGCCGGTTCCCGATCGAGGCCTCGTAGGGGTTCGGTGTCGTCCGTGCCATGGGATCGGCCCCTTTTCCGTGGTCCACCCGCAGCGTGTGGGGCAGCAGGCTGGAGTGGAGGGGCCGCTGGGGCCAGTTCCGCGTGGTGGGATCGGTCGCCGACGGCAGGATGTCCAGGGGGACCCCCGCGGTCCGCGTCACCTGGAGGCCCCACAGGTCGAGCTCCCGGAGGCCGGCGGCCGGATCGGCCGCCCCCGGCCCCGAGCCGGCCAGAACGACCCGGGCCACGGTCTCCGCGTCGGGGTCGCAAAGGTGGCCCTGGAGGTAGGAGACCAGCAGGTCGCGGGGCATGGAGCTCACGCCGGGGTCCCCGCAGAGGAGGGAGGAGACCAGCAGCAGGCGGGGGGAGCCGCCGCTGCCGGGTCCGACCCTTTCGGGGGGATCCAGGGCGGGGTCGGCAACGTCCCGGACGTGCATCATCCCGCGGTCGTCGACGGTGCCCCGGACCCCCACGACGACCCCGGTGCAGTACTGGTACCCGTGGCGGGTCCTGCTCTTTCGGGGTTTTGCGTTGGTCGGGCTGCGGTGGTCGTCCACGAAGCGGATGGCCACCCGGCCCGATTCGTCTTCCAGGAACAGCTGGTCGCCCGAGCGGCAGATCGCATCGGGGTGGAGCCGCCGGTCCTCGTCGTCGCCGTCGTTGTCGTTGTAATAGACGTGTTCCTCGCCGTCGGCCCCGCTGGCGCTCTCGACGACGATCGTTCCCACCACCGCGCTGAGCTGGTCTTCCTTGAGCTCGATGATCCGATCGACGCTCTTGACTCCACCGCTGCCTCCTTCCGGGAGACGGTTGAGTGCCCTCCAGCACCGGTCCTTCAGGGCCGCCAGGCGGTGGGCGTAGACGTGGGAATACTGGCGCTGGTACGGAACGACCTTTTGCTCGGAGGACCGGACGGTGCTGCTGCTACTGCTGCTTTTGTTGCTCCCGCCGGTCGGCGCGTTCTCCTTGCCGGTTGGGTTCTTGCCCGCCGTGGATCCCGCCTGGGTCTGGAAGCGCTGCCACCTCGGGGTGTAGGAAGCAAAGGACCGGACCGGCCGATCGTTGCGGTCCTGGCGGCCGCTGGGAGAGGCGACCGTCATCTCTGTGCTGTGTGGATGTGGTTTGCGCGGCGCGGTGCGGAGCGGGTGTGAAATCTGGGTTTGGATTTGGGGTGACGGAGAGAAAGGGATGGTATCCCGTTGGTTATGGTTTGAATCGAGATGACCTAGAGACCGAAATTCGAGCCGAGCCCAGCGAGAGGTATTCTTTCTGGCGTTTTGTCCGACAAGAGACACGTATCAACGATTGGTGTGCTTACTCTTGGTACAGTTAGGGACAGGTTGTGATGTATTGCAATATTGGAGTGCTTGGGTTCCAGCTTTAGCTTTAGCTTTCACTTCCACTTTGCTTCACTTCTCTCCGGTAGGTCTATTATCATCATCGATTCTGCGTCCCTTATCTTTCGCGGCAAAAAACCAATCATACGGCTAGTACGGCCGGTACGTACTGTTTCTTACGAGTAACCTCGTTGCGCACCAAGCTGTTGGGCCGATCATCATCATTGGAGTGAACCCCGCGGCAACCCGTTGTTCGTTTACCAGCAGAAGTCGTAGCCTTGCTTTGGTCCAGTACGCGCTGTACGGGAGGGGTCGTGTACGGTACGTACTCGTACTAAGTTTACGTTGGGGCTGCAGTGAAGCTGGCAAAGATCATTCCTGTTTTTTTACGCGCCAAAATAGTTTTGTGTGACTTTTAACTTGGAGTAGTACGTATGTAGGATACGATACGTATGTACCCGGTTTCTGCACGATCATTTCCGTCTACGGTCTACGACCTACCGGTATGAACCTTAGATATACTAGTATTAAAGTCATCCTTCCGATTTCAGACGCTTTCATGACTCATGACCCGTAAAAGTCTCGTTTGTTCTGCCCTTCGTTCTTCTCTCATTTCTTGTGGAAGATTCTTATTTTTTATTCCATTTTGTACCTACGGTATGTTGTCACCGCTTTCGCGAAACAGAGAATCGAAACTTTTTTCTGCGTTCGATGCTAGTGCTGCATTGCTTCCCATCGGGCTGCGCATCACATAGCATTGCACCACTCGAGAAGACAACGCAACGAAACACAACACAACAGCAGAAGCACGGCAAACCCACGCCCMGACCTTGCGCGCAACAAAACGAGATGAGAACGCGGCTCCCCCGCTCGTTTTCTTCGTCGGCGGTTCGTTCCGAAACGGCCCTGGCGCGCATCCGAATCGTCTCCGTCAACGACGTCTACGAACTTGCGAACCTCCCCCGGCTCCGGACCTTTCTGGACGGGCTGGCGGTCGCCCCTCCCGATGCCACCGGGCGAAGGGCGGGGGAGGCATTGCGGTGTCGGAAGAAGGAGCCGCAGCCGCCCTCCGCGGTGGTCCTGGCCGGGGACTTTTTGTCCCCGTCCACCCTGTCCTCGATCGACGGGGGACGGGGGATGGTGGCCACCCTCCGGGCGGTCGGGACGACGCACGTCTCGCTCGGGAACCACGAGCAAGACCTACGGCTGGAGTCGCTGCGGGAGCGCCTCGGGGACCTCTCGGAAGGACCGGCCACCGGGACAGGCGCGGAACGAGGCACGGACAAAAACACGAACACGAACACAACCACCGATGCGTGTACAGAAAGTGCAACGACGGAGCCAGGAAAGACACAGCTGCCGAGGCGAAAACGCCCGCGATCGAACCACGCGGATCCTCCTTGTGGGAGCCACCCGGCCTGCGGGCCCGTCGTCGTTCTGAACACCAACATGCGGCGCGACCTTCCCAAAAAGGCCGAGTGGATGCAGTCCGTCACCAGGCCGCATTCCCTGGTTTCCAGCCCGTGCGGGAGGGCCACGATCGCGCTGCTGGGGCTGCTGAGCGACGAGCCGGGGCTCTTCCGGGACAACACCTTCAAGTCGGTCCCGATCCAGAACGTGCTGGATGCCTATACGGAAGCCTACCAGAGCTTGGTGGAAGGCGACGAAGGGGGAGCCACCGGGACCCGAGATCCGCCCGTGGACCTGCTCGTTCCCGTGACCCACGCGTCCCTGGTGCGGGACGGGGAACTGGCAGAGCACATGCTGGCGCTGCACGGGGGGCCCGGTCTCATCCTCGGGGGGCACGAGCACGATCCCTACCACGAGATGGTTGCCGGGGCCGGCCAATCCTGCAGTAGCAACAGCAGCAACAGCAACAGCAACAGCAATGGTAACCACGAAGAAACCACCTCCGAAGACGCCGCCATTCACATTCTCAAGAGCGGGATGGACGCTCGCAATGCGTGCCTGGTGGATTTGGTCTTTGAGATACCAGACACGGAACGAGCACCGGAGCAAGCCATCGATACGGGCACCACCAAGAACGTGCCTCCTCGTCTCGTGGAGATCACGTCGGAACTCATAGATTTGTCGGAATACGAGCCGTCGCCTCGCATACAAAAGATTGTCGACAAGCACATGTCGGTCGTTCAGGCACTGGAGGACGAAATCATCATCGACGCGGGGGACGAGTATTCGTCTCTTTCGCTGCCACCCGGTGTGCTTCTTTCCTCGGAGGGAACGCGCTTTCGGCAAACCACCATCGGGGGCTTCTTCTGCCAGATGATCAAGGAAGAACTGGAAGAATGCGATGTTGCCATGCTGAACGGTGCCGTCATCAAGGGAGGCGTGCTATACCGAAACGCCAAGATGAGCTACGCGCAGCTCAAAAAGGAACTGCCCTTTCCCACAAAAATCGTGGAGGTAGAAATGACACCGGGTGAGGTGAGAGACGCCATACACTATTCCCGGACAGCCGTGGAGGCGGGAACCGAAGCCGGTGGCGCCGAGCCCCCGAGGCGTGGGTATTTGCAGGTAGACCGCGATTTCGACGACCGGATGAAGGATCCCGACGGCGGTGAGGACAGCGGCGGCGGAGCGTCCTTCCTCCGGGTCGCCCTTCCCCGAAACCTGCTCAACGGGTTCTGCAAGATCGAGCCCCTGATGGCCGTCGGGAAGCGCCTCAAGGGGGAGGGCAGATTCCCGGGGGACGACGATTTCGTCCCCGCCATTGACCTCGTCGTCCGGCACGCCTCGAAGAACCGGTGGCTCCACCTGCTGTCGGACGAGACCGACTTCGAACGCTTCGACCTCAACGACGACGGGGTGCTCGACAAGCACGAGGTCCGGGCCATGATGAGGGACGCACTGGGCTACGAGCCGGCCGACTTCGTGGTGGAAGACATGGTCGCCGCGATCGATCTGGACGAGAACGGTACCATCGATCCGGACGAGTTCCAACGCCTGGTTGTGGCACAGCAGCAAGCTGCTGCTGCGGCGGCGGCAACACCAGTGACAGAGCAAGGCAACCACCACGGCAGTGAGCACCCAGAGAAGCAATGATTTTGGTGCGCACGACAGGAACATGACGTGCTACCGTAACCAACGAGAGTCGCACTTAGCTCGACTCGGAGGTTCTTGTTTCGTGATTCTGAATAGTCTATGGATTGGGCGTTCTCCCGTTTCACTGCAGGCCCAAGCAGGTGAGCCACGTATGCTGAGGTATTGGTAAAGACTCGACAGGAAGAATTAAGTCAAACTACTACACTACTAAAGTCACAAGATCACAATTTATACTCGAACCTTTTCTATCCCTTTTACATATACACATTTGGGGTTCATCTCGTTGTTTCATTGCTGGCGGTAGAGAAAATGGATGTAGCATAGATCAAAGGCACAACCGTGCTTTCGAAAAACCCTTCAGAGTCCTCGAATCCTTGTGCCGACGATGCGACCGAGATCCCAGTCTCGGAGGCCTTCGTTGTGTCTGCATGCGCTCTGTTCGAATGCTTGCCGCTCTTGCCACCGCTCTTTTTACCACTCTTGCTGCCGCTCTTGCCACCACTCTTTCCTTTATCACTTTTGCCACCGCTCTTGCCACCACTCTTTCCTTTATCACTCTTACCACCGCTCTTCCCTTTACCGCTCTTTCCACCACTCTTGCTGCCGCTCTTGCCGCCACTCTTGCCGCCACTCTTTCCGCCACCCTTTCCTTTGCCATTTGGCGTTGCGGAGGAGAAGCCTGTAGGCTTCTGAGTTGGTGACCGAGTGATTGGCACGAAAATGAAGCTGGGCTTTCGAGTTGGATTCATAATTGGTTGTGGGGTTGGAATTTTGGTAGGCACCGCCGTCGGCTTTGGTCGGCAAACTTTCCTACATACAGTGGGACAAAAGTGTTTGATGGTCTTCCCCCCTGTACCGGGTTGCACCCTTCTGCATCGTTTCCGGAGATATTTCGCCGTTGCAACCCAACCGCAGTCTCGAACGGGGTTCCCCTCGAATCTGAAATTTTCGTCGTCTTTGCATTGAACCTCTCCTCCGTCGGTAAAGCTTGGAGTGACTTGGGGAGGGTTAGTTGGCAAACTCGTTGGATTTGGTGAGGGCCTCGAAGAAGGCAAACGTGTCGGCAAAGGAGTGGGTTGTGGTGTCGGGACAGGCGACGGTCTTGGAGAGGGCAGCGGGGTAGGTCTTGCTGAGGGCAATGGAGACGGTTGTGGCGTTGGCACTGGCGAAGGTCTTCGTGAAGGCAACGACGTGGGCATTGCTGTCGGTTTCGGCGAGGGTCTCGGTGTGGGTATTGGCGATGGCATCGGTGAGGGCATCGGTGTAGGTCTCTCCGAGGGTCTCGCTGTAGGACTTTGCGTAGGACTCTGCGTGGGTTGCTTGGAAGGAGATCCACTCGGGTTACTTGTTGGAAACGTAGACGGAATGACACTTGGTGGCGAGCTTGGACTTCCACTAGGACCCCTCGAAGGCACCCTACTCGGGGTATCAGAAGGATCGAAAGAAGGAGAATCGCTAGGAAGAGAGCTCGGACCGAAAGACGGGCTTCCAGAAGGCAAGGAGCTTGGTGTTTGACTGGGAATAAAAGATGGTTTAGAACTGGGGCTTGCCGATGGAGACCCCGATGGAAATTTGCTGGGCATTCCACTGGGAGATTCGCTAGGCTTTGCACTAGGAAAAGAGCTTGGGCTGTCAGAGGGGAACCAACTTGGGGTCACAGATGGACTTCCAGAAGGATACGTAGTTGGGAATCCCGAAGGGCTTTGACTCGGAGTAGAACTCTTTGTAGGGCTTTCGGTCGGAGCACTACTTGGGAAAAAGCTCCAACTTGGTGATTCGCTAGGAAATCCACTAGGCAACTGCGAAGGCCTAGAAGAAGGTGATTTACTAGGACTCGTTGAAGGACCCGAAGATGGGGAGTGACTTGGTAACGAACTTGGCTTTTCACTGGGGCTGCTCGAAGGCAATTTACTTGGGGTATCAGAAGGACCCGAAGAAGGATACGTGCTGGGCAAAGAGCTCGGACTGAACGATGGTCCTTTAGAAGGCTTAGAGCTTGGGAATACGCTGGGCAGAGAGCTAGGAGTGGATGTTGGTACTCCAGATGGTAACACGCTTGGTAGTCCACTCGGACTGCTGGATGGTAGAGACGAAGGAGTACTACTGGGTGCAGAACTCGGACTCACCGAGGGCCCTCCAGAAGGCAGCGAGCTTGGTGATCCACTAGGATTGCTAGATGGTCTGGAACTGGGGCTTACTGATGGAGTCTCTGACGCCCAACTTGGCGTTGTACTGGGACTCGTTGATGGTGAGTTGCTAGGGCTACTGGACGGCAAAGAGCTCGGTCTAGTCGATGGAATGGTAGATGGGAGCAAGCTCGGGATGTCCGAGGGCTCCTCTGATAGGGATACACTTGGATTACCAGAGGGACTTCCTGATGGAGAAGCACTAGGTTCTCCTGACGGATCCAAAGACGGAGAGGAGCTTGGTCTCACGGATGGCACATCGCTTGGAGCAGAGCTCGGTCCACTCGAGGGATGCCCTGATGGAGATTCATTTGGTGAGCCACTAGGTGATCCACTTGGAGATATGTTGGGAGAAGAACTTGGTCGTTCCGATGGATAGTCGGTAGGAGACGCCGATGGAAATTCACTGGGGATCTGGCTAGGGCGAGCACTAGGATATGCACTTGGGCTTTCCGACGGGGAGGAACTCGGATTCGCAGATGGTATTGCCGATGGCAACCCACTCGGTGATTCAGAGGGGTTGACACTAGGAGACGGGCTCTTCGTTGGAAGATCAAAGTAGCTTCCACTCGGCAATTCACTGGGGAACTCACTTGGCACTCTACTAGGAGGGTTGGACGGCCTTCCACTCAGCAACTCTGAAGGAACAAAGGAAGGTAATTCGCTGAGATTTTTAGAAGGTATTGCTGATGGAGAGCCACTCGGCGGTGAAGTTGGCTTTCCACTGGGGACACTCGACGGTGATCCACTAGGTACACCAGAATGGCCCAAAGAAGGCAATAAACTGGGATTACTAGATGGCAACCCAGTAGGAGATTCACTCGGGAGCATACTGAGATGAAAGGAGGGCGATTTGCTGTGACTTCGAGACGGACTGCCAGATGGCACGAAACTAAGAATTTCGGTTGGCTCGCTACTGAGGAATACCGTAGGGACGATCGAGAGAGCCTTCGATGGGTTCCCAGAAGGCCTAACAGATGGAGAAGTACTAGGACTTCTAGAAGGCACCTTGCTTGGCAGCAATGACAGGCTGACACTGGGGGATCCGCTGGGAATCTTGCTTGGAAAATCGCTGGGACCGTCGCTTGGAACAACGCTCGGATGAAATGAACCGGCGCTCTGCCCGGAACTAGCGGTAGGTACTGCGGAGGGATTGAGAGTCGGTATTGCGCTAGGTCCGAGAGTATCGGGGATCATTGGTACGGGAGGTTGGAAAACCGGCTGTAAAACAGGTTGGAGAACTGGCGGTTGGAGCACAGGCTGCTGAATCACTGGCTGCTGGAACACAGGCTGCTGGAACACTGGCTGTTGGAGAACTGGCGGCTGGAACACTGGCTGCTGAAACACTGGCTGGCTCACGGGCTCAAAAGTCCATGGATTATCGACCACCGGTGGGACTACCGGCTGGGTCATAGGGGATGCCACCGGCTGGCCAACGGGAAGCCCCAGTGGAGGTTGGCTTGGTAGAGCGGGCACTGTCGGCTGGGGATTGCGGCTGGGTCTGGGATCTTCTCTATCTGCCGGGCGCTGCGACGGCACAACATTCCCGTTGTCGGGGTAGGAGGGTGGGGTGCTCGGCAATGCGCTCAGCGACGGCAAAGCGGATGGCGGGTCGGTCGGGGGACCTCTCACCCCGTCGTCGGAGTAAGTGGGCGGGATGCTCGGCACCGCACTCGAGGACGGCGAAGCGGACGGAACACCGGTTTTCTTAGGGACTTTCGTGGTCTTTTTCGGTGCCTTGGTGCGCTTCGGTTTCTTGGTGGGACCGGGGGTGGGCAACAATACACTAGGCGACGAAGAGGGGGCATGGTCGTCGCCGTCTGTCTTTTTCGGGGCTTTTGTCTTTTTGGGTGCCTTGGTCCGCTTCGGAGCTTTCGACGGTGAGGGGCCTCGACGCGATGGTGCCTGTGTGAGGATTGGTGGTGGCGATGGAGCGATACAGCGCTCCTCTTGTTCCCCGATGAGCCGGTCGATTGCGTTGCTTTGGCATTCGCTGGCACCGCCCCATGGCGAAGACGACAGGCTTTCGCCGTTGCTTGGGCACTCGAAATATAGTTCAAAGCAGCTTTCGATAGAGTCTCCGCTGTCTGCAAACATTAGGGCGCGCTCTAGCGGGCTGTCGCTCTCCCCCTTATCCGGGCCCTGAGCTCCGGTAGGGGCTGCGGATGGAGCGGTACTTGGTGCATCGCTCGGAAACTCGGAACTTGGCTCTGCCCTACTACCACCAGTTCTTGCCGATTGGTAGGCGCGGGCTTCGTTCTTGCTATCCTTGGAACTCTTTCCGTCTTTGCTTCTCGATTTGCCACCATACGGCTTGGCCCCCTTGGACTTACCCTCTTTCCCAGAGTCACCCTTGCTTCCCGACTTTCCACCGTAGTA